ACATGAAGCCTGCTGGACCTCTCCAACCATTGTCTATACCTAGATGGAAATGGGAAGAGATTAGTATGGATTTTATTGTTGAACTTCCCCCTACCCAAAAGAATTTTAATTCCATATGGGTAATAGTGGATCGTTTAACAAAGTCTGCTCATTTCATACCAGTTAGAGTTGACTATCGACCAAGTGACTATGCTGAGTTATATTTTAATCAGATAGTACGTCTCCATGGTGTTCCTCGAACCATTGTATCTGACAGAGGACCTCAGTTCACCGCTCGTTTTTAGGAACATTTGCACAAGATGATAGGGACCAACTTAGTTAGAAGTTCGCTTATCATCCACAAACCTCCTGGACAGATTTTGAGCGAGTGAATCAAATAGTGGAAGACATGTTGAGAGCTTGTGTCATATCATCCAAAGGTTCGTGGGATAAGTGGTTACCCTTGGCTGAATTTTCCTATAATAATAGTTATCAAGAAAGCATAAAGATGGCCCCGTTTGAAGCATTGTATGGTCACAAGTGTAGAACTCCTTTGAACTGGGTTGAATCGGAGAAAGGAGATACTACGCATTGATTTCGTCGAAGAGGCGTAACAACAAGTCCATACTATCCGAGAAACATATGAAAGCACTCAAGCTAGGCGAAAAGCTATGCGGATAAGAGAAGGAAGCCTATTGAGTTTGAAGTAGGTGATCACGCTTATCCGAAAGTGTCACCTATGAAAGGAGTCTGCAATGATTCGGAGTTAAGAGGAAGCTTGCACCTAGGTATGTAGGCCCATATCCGATCATAGAGAAGAGTGGGATGTAGCTTATAAGATAGAGTTACCTTACGAGATGAGAGCTATCTTTAATGTTTTTCATGTCTCTCAATTGAAGAAATGTCTTCGTGTTCCCGAAGAAAGAGTTGCACTTAGAAATATCAAGTTGAAATCAGATCTATCCTATGAAGAAAGGCCAGTGCGGATTATCGACACAAGAGAAAGAGTAACCCGGAACCGTGTGGTTAAGTTCTACAAGGTTATGTGGAGTAACCAAGGTAGTGAGAGCGATGCAACGTGGGAACGAGAAGATTATTTGAAGGATGTATACCCTACCTTTTATTCAAAATGGTACGCTTTTCAAATCTCTAAGTAGATTTTTATAAGAATGGCTGTAACACCCAGGTGTTATGGTTGCACTAAAACACTTGCATCGCATGAGCATGTGTATCATCATCTCATTCATAAGCATCATTCTTTCATGCATAAGCATTTCTATATGAAACATTGCTATGAAACATGTGAAACATGCTATTGTTCTTTTAAGCTTCATTGTATGTATGCTTTATGATCATGTGTGATTGAGTGCAAGTGATGAATGTGGGTAACTAAAATACCTTAGCTACACTTAGAATGTCATTAGGAACAATGTTCATGTTAACCATGTTGCCTAATTATGATTTCAAGTAATGGTTTGACTTGTATTGACCCTAGGACTCTTTTGTTTGACTGTTTAAAAAGTATGACTTAGAGTGTTTGCATGTCGGAGCAACCTAAAGCAAAGTTGTAGCAAATTTTATATGGAACAAACTTTGTTTAGAGGTCAAGTCATGAAAATGTGTGGAATAGTCTCAAACATGGCCCACAAGTCAGAATTGGGGCTGATTCTACACTTAGAAATTTTCTAAGTCCAAGGGCTAATTTCAGCTTTTGAGATCGACTTTGGCTTGATTTTACTCTCTATCCTTTGTGAATTAGGCTTTGATCTCTAAAGGAGTTTCAGAGCTGGTACATAGTACTTCAACTTTTGTTTAGGAGGTTTGCGCTAATGACCTAAGGATTCGAAATCAATCACCCAAATTGCTTGCTTGTCGGGGCGTTGGTGAAGCGGCCAATCAATCGTCTGACAAAGGCTGCTTCGGCCGTTCAAGTCGTGGCCGACCGCCGTCTGGCCGAGCGCGCCAAGTGGAGGCCGTACGTCGGCGTTGGCCCCGCGGGTCAGGCCATCGCGGCCACGACGACGCCACGTGCCCCTCGGCTCACCTATTTGCTTCGCCGTGCGCGTCTGGCCTCGTCAGTCCACGCCGAACCGAGCGTAGCGCCGCTCCGCCGTTGCCGAGCAAGCCGCACCGTCGCCCAGCTCTTTCGCCGCCGTGAAAACGCCGCTTCCAGCTAGCCCACTATGTTTTCTGGTGTTTTATGTACACTTTGGATATGTGTTTATTATTTAACCTCAGTATCTAAATAAATTATTAAAGGCATGAGAATAATTTATTTAGGAATGTACACTATGTTTTCTGGTGTTCTTTCAACATGTATGATGAGTTAGTAAAGTTGGTCTTGCCCGTTTGTATGTTTACAACGTAAGTTAATAATTATTTCTTGCGTTGTGTCTTTCCGGATAATTCTGGGAACTTTATAAAGTTCACCATTATAATTTGGGTTTCTGGGAATGTGGTCAATAACAAAGTTGTAGGAAACTTGTTTATATAGCTTGTGTTAAAATTTCAAGGCATTTGGCCTAGTAGTTTGAGAGTTATGTCAGTTGGAAGACATCACTCCCAACTGCCTGCTCTCTGAAATCCACGGATAGTTTTGCAAGATCAGTCTGTTTGACCTAGTTAGAGTTTGAATTAGACTTTGGTAATTAAACAAAAGTTGTAGATAATTTTATAAGCTTTCCAGAAAGTCTGAAATCAGGGTATTTGGATCTGTAGAACTCTAGTTATGGATCAAACTTGTTGCTGCTATTTGCAGCCTGAAAACTGTTGAGTGCAGTGAATGACTTGTTTGCTTTATATGAGTTGATGTGATGATTTAGATGCTAGGCTAATTAAGATAAATTGTTAGTTGCAGGTGCTAGACCTCTTACTAAAGATGAACAACTTTATCTTAGGTTATTAGAACTTGGTGAGTGTGCCGTTCTTGTTTTCTAATAAAGATATGCAACTACTCGATAAAATAGATGTAAAGCTTGTATTATCATATTGTTCATGCGTCCATTCATACATGGCTGTACATTTCATCATCATATTCCATCTCTTGTGCATGCATGATTCTTATACTATGCATATGCATGCAATAGGTGTTCGGAGGGCAGTAACGCTTCGGAATTCGAGCCAGATTTCCGGAGGAGCAAAGCAGAAGCTCGGGGAGCGTGAGGTGCAGACACCAAGAAGGAGCCTGCGAAGAGAAGTTCTTGAGTGCCCGATCACCAACCTTCCTCTTTTCTAAAAGGCAAGCCCCGAGCATTCTAAGTCTCCCATGTTTTTACAAATATCTTGAGTATCTTTTATTGTTGATGATGCATTAAGTATAGGAATCGGTTGGAACCAATTGTTGCATTAAATCCTTACCTTGTCCAGATAAAATCCTATGAATCCTAATTAAGTGTAGGATCGAATGATGCTTAGCTATGCTTAGACCGGTAGAAGTCGGGTGATTTCCTATCACCTGCGAGATGTAGGATGAGCTCTGGTCACGGTTGGATATAATTGCTATCATGAAAAAGAACCATGTGTTAATATTGAAAAGAGACCGGACGGGATGACGGTAGTGCAGCAACAAGGCATGGAGGTCTTAGGTGTGAATCTATCCCCGTCTATGTCGTTTAAGGACCGATTCGCTGTACGTCCTCATGTCATGTTGAACGTATGCCTATCACTTAGTTGGTCGGATAACTCGTTCCGACCGCGAAGCCGAGTAGCTCAACTCAGGCCGAAAGACTGAGAAGTGAAAGTGCGCACCCTGGCGGTAGTAAGGATGTGCGAGGAGCTATTGGCGTAAGTTCGAGGTGAGATTGACCACCTGGCATAGTGGACTCCCTGAGGGTGCGGCGCTGCTTGGAGCCGCGATTCCTGAGATGTACCAAAGGTGACCTAAGGCTGCCTTCGCGCGGTATGCCTGGGTTTGTGTTAGGAATACCCCTCCAGCTGGATAGGAATTGATTCGAATCGCCGTCTCTCCCGGATAGTGAGAACTTGACTGAGCAACGACAACGTAGATTCACTAAATGTAAAGATATGGTTAAATGATGATGATCATGAGGAGGATGATAATGATGAGCCATGAAATACCTGATATGGTTATTATTGTTTGCAACTAAATCAAATGATTGATTAGTACAGGTGCTAATATAGATGGTAGGAAATGGATAAAAGTCACTGCTAGTCCAGGTGAATAATGCTAATGGTTACTCAAGTTTTTATGCAAAAAGGTTGTCCAGCAAGATCCAGTGATAAAGCCTTGCATACTCCTTGGTGTCATTTATTTTTGGTTTATGACGGATAAGTCTAGCTGAGTACATTCTCGTACTCAGGGTTTATTCTCTCTTGTTGCAGATGACGTGCTCTATAACAGCTACTGCAAGTATTGTCTCCACCCTGCGGGGGATGAAGACTAGATCATGGGCATGATCATCTATGTTATCTTATCTTACTGTTTTTGCTGGATATGACTATGTGCTGGCTTGTATTTGAACTAAGTGTGTATGATGGTCTCAAACTACTTTGCTTCCGCTATTTGTGAACTCGTTTTGTAATAACTATGTGTACTCTGATGTATGAGGTACTTGCGAACTACTTGTGAAATGGATGTAACATGTGGCTTGTTATGTTGAATTACTGTGATCTTGGTTGTATGCAAGTTGGTTTGAAATCCTTCGTGGTTTCAGTTGACTACCGGGTTTATATGGGTTCAAGTATGACGGTTTGATCACTCCGGTGATTGCTTTCGTACTTGTGCTCTTATAAATTGGTCGGTTCTGTTACACCCGTGATCATGCAGCGCCGACGCGAGGCTCCAGACGGCCTCGTCGATGGAGCCAACCTCGCCGGCGCCGAGCACCACGAGCTGGCTGGACATCGCATTGAACGGCTCCGCCCAGGGTAGGTCGCCATCGGAGACCCGGGGAAGGTGGCTGTGGCGGGTCCTCCGACGAGGATGGCGGCCGCGACTGTTGCCGTGAGAGAGGAGCGAAGGGACCAGCCGCATCCCCTCGTTGGGCTCGACAATGACGACCATGGCAGCGGCATCTTCTGCGGCGCCGGCGCGGCACAGCTGCGCGAAGCTCCATCACGGCTTTAGACTCCAGCGCCCCATGACCTCATGCTCCAGCACCGCCACCTACGAGCACCATGTCGACAGCATGCTCCGTTCCTCCGTCGTGGCTGTTCCCGGCGGAGCTGCCTTCAGGGCGCAGTGCTACAGCGTGGTGTCGCCGTTGCGGAGGAGGGAGAGGATGCGGCCGAGGAACCCGACGGCGAGGAGACGGTCCGTGGTGGTGGGCGGAGAGAGGCAGAGCACCGGGACGGCCCCAAAGTTGGCCACCATGTACTTCCTGATCTCGTCGACGCCCGCGAGGCTCCGTAGCCCCCAGCACGCTGCGCACACGAGCTCGCCGCTGCTCGCTCCGTGGTCCGTGCATAGGTCGAGCAGCGCCGTGACGCCGCCGTGCGCCGCGTTCGGCCTTTCCTCCTTCACCGTGCACAGGTCGAGTGCCCAACGCCATGAGCGCCACGTTCGGCCTTGCCTCTTTCGCCGGCAACGATAGCCTCCGGAGGTCGGCGAGGTCTGCGAGACTGCGACCAAGCGCCAGAGAGTGTACTCGTGCGCGTAGAAGGAGCCGCGAGTGACGCACACGACGGGGACGTCGGAGGTCCCACCGGCGCTGAGGAGGTGCGCGTCGTCGACGAGCAGCGGGTCCCGCCCCACACATGGCACCAGTTCATGGCGGACGACGGACGGCGAGGGTCAGGTTGCGCGGGTCGAGGCCCTCTCTCGTGGCCCGCTCGACAGTCTGCACGTGCACGCGGTGGTTGGAGTCGCCGAGGCACGAGGAGCGGCCGGCGCGCAGCGAGGTCCCGTGGCGAGGGAGATGAGCGGTGGATAGGTTGGGCGGGTCGTGCTGGAGGAGCAGGAAGAAGGGAGGGCAGGAGGGACATTTCACACGACCAGCTGACTCGAATCCGTGATGGTACAAGGAGCTGACGTGCCATACAAACAAAAGTGATAAATTTATAGCTATTTTTTCTCGTAACTGGTGAAAATGCAGTGACAACCGTTAACATGCTATTTCAGGAGGAGGTGCTTATAATGGTAAAAAATTATCTCTCCCTTCGGGAGCCGAAAACTCAGCACGCATCCCTTGAAGACCTAACAAGAAATTTTTTCCTGTAAGTTCGATCCATTCCTTCCCCTAGGCTGATCTCCTGTTTCGTTATGCGATGCAATTTTCTTCCGTATATTCCTTTCCTGCAAAATTTCGGTACGATCGGCTAAAGTAATCTGGCAAGAATTCCAATCTGCACCCGATCAATCCTCCCGTAGGTTTACGCTCTCCTTCAATCGGGTTTTTTTCTTGCAGGAATGCTGTTGGAAAAGCTCTGATCTCTGCGCCAGTGTTCCTGGCCATCGTGGCCTTGCAGGCCACCTGCTCGACGTAATGCCGCCGAAGACCACGAAGCGCTGGGTGCCGGTCAACCGGAACGCCGGAGCGTCCCGCGGGCGCGACGGAGGCGGCCCCGACGCCAACCGCCTCAGCGCGCTCCCGGTCGCGCCCCCGCCCCTGCACCAGCGCCTGGTGCCTGCGACGATCACCATGCGGTACCAGCGCTGGGTGCCCGCGACGAGCACCATGCGGTGGGTGCCGGTCAACCGGGCTGGGGGAGCGTCATCCTCACGTGGGCGCGAGGGAGGCGACCCTGACGCCGATCGCCTCAGCGCGCTCCCGGACGCGCTACTGCTGCACCACATCATGTCCTTCCTCAAGGCGTGGGAGGTGGTGCGGACCTGCGTGCTGTCGCGGCGGTGGCACCACCTGTGGGCATCCGTGCCCTGCGTCGATCTCCGCGTCGGCCAGGATGACTACGACGGGGTACCTGAGGACTTTCCTGACTTCGTGCGCCGCCTGTTCCGTCGCCGTGATGAGAAGGCGGCCCTGGACACGCTCCGTCTGTGGTGGAGCAATGTTGATGGTGCACATGATGAAGATGATGCCAGGTTGTGGATCCGTACTGCGATCAAGCGTGGTGCTCGAGTAATTCATCTTGTAGGGCACCCCAAGGGGGCTTGGCTTTGTGGCGGCTGCCTTGCGACGCTTGAGCATTCATCTTTTGTCTCGTGCCCCCTCAAGATCTTGAAGCTATCCTATGCCCTGCTGGATGACAGCATCCTCAGGCTGCTTTCATGTCATTGCCCGGCTTTGGAAGAACTGGATCTTAAAGATTGCGTGATTACTGGTCATGAGATTTCGTCTGCATCTCTCAAGATTTTGACCATGTTCAAGTGCCAGAACAATGCCAACCTATCTATTGCTGCTCTGAACCTTGTACTGCTGCGCTGCATCTCACCAATAACCCAAGCTCCATCATTTCAGAACATGGGGTCTCTTGTTGCAGGCACCGTCATACTTGATGGTTATGCCTTCAGCGACGATTTTGAAGACTTCAGCAAGGATGAACTTGCTGAAACCACTGATGAAGATGATGACAATCAGAAGTACAAGACTGGGTGCCCCTCTAGAAGGATTTGCACGTGGTTACAAGTATGATTATGATTATGGTAGTGACATTGAGAGTGATGACAACACCTATGAATATAGTGAGATTGCAAATGACTCTGGTGAGTATAGTTTTGATGGTGATGGTCACAGTTCCAGTACAGATGGTAATCATCATGTACTTGGTGAAAACTCTGGATGCAACGAGAACAAAATTGAAGGCGGCTATAGATCTTCTCAAATGCTACAAGTTTGGAGCTGTTAGCTAATGCTGGAGAGGTACATCTTTCACTCTCCTTTTCTGAAGTTCATGTCTGACCTTTAGTAAATACTCGTTCCTTAATATATAGTCAAAATTATTTTCACATTTTTGTCAACGGAACACTATTATAGTTTCACCAGATCACAGGATGTCCTATCCACATTTTACCCTTTATTTAGCTGTGTGACGCTGTGTCTAGATAAACAGAATAATCCATTTTCTATCAATTGTAGTAGCTCATTCGGTTGCCTATCAAGAATTTGTTTCACCAAGACAGCAATATTGTTTATTTTTTATCATTACAAGTCTGCAACGATGTTCCTCCGCAAATAATTCTGTTTATGTATCCGCACGGAACTATTTCTAAGAAATCTTGTGTCTTGACATTAGCCCGTGGACAATTTTTCCATTTAAAAATTAATATGCATCCCATTTAGCAAAGCTAATATTTCCTTAGCAATATTTTTTTTAATGCAATGGCAGGAGCTTTGCCTTTCAATTAAGAAGAGAGCAAATAGAGCTAATTACAGGAGTGTTAAAAGGGCACATGACAGGCTCCCCAGCCTGCCAGAGCAAAGGGGCACAGAGAGCCCAAGAGCCAAACTAAGCCGAAAAGACAATGCCTCTATGTTATTTACTTTTCTTCTCTCTGTATTGACCAATTTAGTTGCATGCACGATATGAGGGTTTGGTTCACTTAATGTTGTTGTCTACTGAAACATTACATTTTTTGCTATGATATGAAGGTGATTCTGACTAGAGACTGAAAAGGTGCCCAAGTTTTAGCAACCTGAAGACCTTGTCCCTTGGCGAATGGTGTATTGATGCATTAGTTTTCCCTTGGCGAATTCTATTAACTTGATTCTGACTAGAGACTTTGATGCATTAGTTTTCCTGCTGCAGCATTCACCTAATCTGGAGAAGCTTTTTCTTGAACTCAAATTGGTATGAGTTTTTGCATATCTTGTGTGTTATATCCTGAGCTTTGTGTATCTGGGCACATGTTTAATAACACTCATGTTGTTCTGCAAAAAGAACTTAAACTCCAGGAAGCCACTGGTAAGCGGTGTCAAACCAAAGGGAAGATCATTTGCTTGCAAGCATCTTCGAAAGGTGAAGATCAAATGCTCTAAGGATGACGTGAGAGTCCATAAGCTGGCACACTTGTTCAGGGCTAATGGTGTACCAGATGAGAACATTTTCGTCCGTAGGACAGGGAGCACCTGTGAGTCATACCTTCTCTTCATCATGTACCTAATTTTGTATTTATTTACACTGCCCGTGTTGTGTTAGTATTATGAAACCTCTCCATGAAACTCTATTACTGTTGTTAATTAGATGTGTGGTCACTGACACCTATTTTTGTATTTATTTACACTGCCCGTGTTGTGTCACTATGCAAGAAACATCTTCGTTAACTTCTGAATACTGTTGTTAATTAGATGTGTGGTCACTTGATGTTACTCCAGGCTTGTCATTTATTAAATGACAATTAAGAAATTCTATTAACTTGAAATCTGTTCTTTTGTGCTTGCTTTTTATCTATTCATTCACCCACTGTTTGATTTTGTACCAGATCTCCGTGGTGAGAAGATTATGAGAGATCTTGCTAGGCACGAGCTGGAGTTCTGGGGGGTTTAATATCCAGTTATCTGTTATCCACTTATGGTTCTTGTTAGATGTTTTCATTTTCGCCTATTTTGTAAGCAAAGACCTTGCATGCAAGGCAGTATGGCCCCATGGATTTTTAGTACTGATCATGTGCATGCCACAAACAGTGACGCAGTTTCTGGTGCCCCAGGCACCAGCCCCTTTTGGCTAAAATGGAAGTTGGAACTTAAGTATGGTTATCTAAATGTTGTGATGTTCTCTCGTCTAGTGAATGGATTATCTACGCATAGTATCTCTAGATAACTTTGCTTTTAGATCGTTAACTACTAATAAAACTGCTATTTTGTATTTAAGATCATGGCACGCGTTGTGCTATGTTCAGTCTTTTGAATGCTGTGCTTGTCTTGACAATCAGCTATGTTGTCAGAGAAATTTCAAGCTCATTTCTAACTGTAAGTATGATATATGCAAACTTTCTTGCCTTGCAAATGGTGATATAAGATTTACCTATGCAGCTACGGTCTAGTTTTCATGACAATGGGTCAATGGATAGGTAGCAGATGTATAGTCATAGGAATCCGAATTTAGCTGTGAACTGTGGTGCCTTCACACAGTTGTCTATACTGTATTATCATGCTATATACATGTTCTTGGATCCGTTCGATGCGTTCTTTTCTGCACAGCTGACTTTAGGTGCAATTAGTTTTAAATCCTTGTATAAGCAAGAAGCAAATGTGACCATATGGAACTGACCAAACATACAAGTACAAAACCATTTTGATTTCCTATCCGTCAAACAAAATTGCGTTTTAGAAGAAAAAAATCAAGTTAAAAACTTGAGCCTTTATGAGCTGTCAAAACAAACTCTCCAAACAAATTAAGCGACGAACCTTATTACATTCTTCAAAGATATATACGTCACATCTCATCCCAAAACTGGTCCGTCTAAATACAGCAAAACCAATCATTGGTTTTTGAAGTTTTTGTATATATTTCAGTCATTCACATAATCATCACATAGTACACATTCACTACATCCATGTACTGCGCAATTGACTTAAAAGACTAATATCGTTCATATGTTCCACGCTGAATAATGCAACAAAACAAGTTATTACAAACCACTGCCAGTTAGACTTCCGTCATGCATTATACTGAGAAGGCAGCATGCAGATACGGTCGGAAGTGAACCAGTGAAAAGGCTGGAGGAGCTGTTTAAGCACAAATAAAAAAAAGATTAATTAACCATAACATCAGATGTATATATAAAATATAACAAAAGGAAGACAAAATTCATAACCCACAAATTTTTGGTATGAGACAATTCAGTGTGCCTATAGGGATTGTAATATGGGTAATGGAGTGGTATGAGGCCCTGTTCGCTTTTCTTATAATCCGTCTTTTTCAGCTTGTTTTTTCAGCCGAAACAGTGTTTTTCTCTCACAACAAATCAGTCGGAACAGTGTTTCGACTTGTTTTTTCAGCGAAGCGAACGGGACATGAAAAAGAGGAATTGCAAGAGACCAATTGAAACTTCATGCAACATTGAAAACGAAAGGAGTATTTTCAGATGAACTAATTGATTCAGGATTATCCAGATTCCTTCTTTTTCCAATTCAAACATCAGGTCTTTGTCTCTGTTTTCATGTTGAGAATTATTTTGCAGACAAAAGTGGGAAGATATCAAAGTGGCTTAGTACCAGTCTTTGGAGAACAAAATGTCCTAAAGGTCTAGTTAGCAACTGATCCACCAAGAGCAAGTAAGAAAGGAAAAAACATCACAGATTATTGTTTCAAGAATGGGATGAGCTAGAATTCATGTGTCACATTATTCACACTGAGAAGCTTATACTATGTACTATGTAAATGAAGATTCGAACACAAGCCTGTTTATCTTTCTTTTTTAGAACTTCCGGTGTGCACAATTCCTCAATGTTTCCATGAGTAGCTAGACTTTCAATAAATTCGGTTAAGAATACAGTGTATCTGAGCTAAGTCCCATGCACTTGGGTGTTGCATATCCAAGAAATGTGCAATTCCATGGCTTATGGCGGTGTATGTGTATGTACAACACATATACTTCTAGAGTGCTAACTAGTGGACAAATGCGAAATAAGACATGAAGATGGCAGTCTTACCTTGCTGCGCATTAAGCAGGCATGTTTATGTTTCCACCAACTTCTTGAGAAATTGTTTCTGTTTACCAAGAAGAGGAACATTATACTAGTTACCGTCCCTTTGTATCTGTCTACTGTAAATGAAAGAGATCAGCAATAAGCGAAAAGATGAGGAGTTGTGCTTGTACGTACCTGAAGATTTGATCCAATCCTGGGTACAGATGAGGGCCTCAACTAATTCAGGACTCAGCTTCCGGTTGAAAAGGCTCGTCCGTTCATCAGTTTCATCAAATGCAGATTCAGCAGAGACTGCAGATCCAGGAATTGCTAAGATGTCACGAGCCAGTCTGGCAAGAGTTGGATATATCGAAGCATTTTCCTTCCACCATTTCAAAATATTGAAATTGGCATTTTGTGGAATAAGCTCTCCTTCAAGGTATCTAATGACTTCTCCCAGTTCCTCATGTGCTGCTTGCTCAATGTAATTTTGACTTGCGTCATGTACTGGTATGTTACCATGTGTATCCAACTGTAAATCGTTGGTTCTCTGATCAAAGCTCTCATCATTTTGTTGATCAACATGACAAGAGTACTGTAGAAAGAGCTCATATAGCTTTCCTCGCACTTCAGAGATGTACCTTTTGGCATGACTACCAAAGGCTTCCTTAAAGCAAACAACAAGAAACCTGATTTTATATCTGGGATCTAGAACAACAGCTAACGACAGCCATAGGTACTATTTCCTCCAAAGCTGGTCAAACTTCAGCTTCATTTGTTCAATATTAAAAACTTGGTCGATGTTTTCCTTTGTAGATGAACGGAGCAGAGCCATCTTCAAGTTCCAAATTGCGTGAAATTGTGAATTCAAGGTCCCATTGCGAGTTCTTGAAACCACTTTTACTGCGTGGTAAATCGACCTTACAAGATCACAGAAGTTCTCTGCTGCCTTTAGCTGTGCAAAAGATGGCTTGGCTGGATAAGATCGGGAGTCTATAAGCTGAGGATTTGGCATCTCGTTGTTAAACTGCAAAGCAGCTTCCAATGAGTGGAAAGTTAAGTACCATCTCTCCGAACCAAAAGAGGGTCGGCTTATTTGCAGGCGTGACAGGATTTCTTTGTATTTATCCCTACGTAGTGGGGTGCATGTCATGTACTGAAACCACATCTGACTTGTACTTACGACATATTCCTTGATTTCATAACCAAAAAGGTCATTTAGGGCATCTATTATGCAGGGGAGATTTAACAACTTACATTTGGCAAGAAGGTAGTTCTGTTCTGTAAGATTCTTCTCCAGAGCCGATACAGCAGCATCACCTAATGACCTGGGTGATGAAATTCCTAGAAGCTTCCACTCAATCCTCCAATTTTGTACTACCTCTTTCACTATTTCTTCTTCAGCTGCTCTCACATTCCCATTAATGAAATTGTGGCATGATTGCAAATTGGAAACCATGCTAACAAAATACTCAGCATCAAAGTCTTGACACCCGGTAAAGCAACATCTGATGATTTTCCTATTCAAGTTCCATTCTTTGTCAATGAAGTGCACCGTCAAAAAGATGAAGTACTTAGTTTCAAGAGAACTGCTTGCAGCTGTCAGAAAAACTCCACTAGGTGCAAGTGCTATTTCCTCCTGAAGCTTAAGCTTTTCATTCTGAAAAATACTGAGAAACTTCTCTTCAATAGCACGTTGTGGTACCACATCATTAGTAGGACAGATGCCAGCCCAAAACTGCCTAAAAGTTGGGCTGCTTGTCAACGGAGAGGAGAAAAGGTTGGACACTAAAGCTTTGATGAGCAATTCAAGAGACCTGTCTTGATCGAACTTCCAGATGTTCTCAACTGTGGAACCAGGATGTGGAGATGACCTCTGTTGCTGCATCCGGCCTGTTGCAGGCCGCGCTGGACAGATCTTAAGATGCCGCCGCAGATGGGTTGTTCTTCCTGTGCTTGTTCCACCAAAGCACATTTTACAATGTTTACATTCGGCCCATTGAATTTTGTCACCTCTTAACACAGCAGTAAATCCCCCCCCCCACCTTGGACTTTGATCTTCTTTTTCCACTAGCACTAGAGAAATGACATTATGTACATCAGCTAACGTTCATGAGAATTTCCCGTCACACATTGAACATTAGGAATTTAAAACTATGAGAAAATTAAAATGCATGATTTTAGATCAGTGGACAAACAAGATAAAAAAACAAACTGAGTCACATAACCAGGGTTCATACCAAGACCTAGCCAAAATATGACTACAGAATAATTCCAGCACAACAGATAGCTCATCACCTAATGGAAAGCTGTGATTTTGTCTAGGTATTATTGTCAATGTTATATACGTTTAAGTTTTATCGCTGGGCCCTCTAAGCCATTTTTCGCAACATGATTGAGGTGTTTTATTTTTCAGGTGGCACTGGAATCAACTTGACACCACCTCCTGCAACAATTATGGGGTACTTATTTATGACTATTCCCACTTTCCCCTTTTTGTTTTAAATAACAGTAGAATTTTCAACTGGACAGAATCTAGATTCTAGAAGCTTACTCACATGTCGATTCTGTTTTTGCCGGCGTCACCACACCAGCTGCCACTAGATTCTAGAACCTAATGGAAAGCTATATCGACCATCGGTGACCTACTGCACATCATCAAGGCCAAAGCCGACCACTGGATTCAGGCCGGAGCAGGCGGGCTACGTGCGCTGGCGCAGGGCTAGGACGTCGTCAAGATAGCCATGGATCATGAACGTTTTATTTTATAATATAGCGTGCACAAAAACTAACGGCCAGGAGCAAAACTCTTGTATTGTATTATAAACTCTTTCTTTTGATACAATGGCACACTCGGGCGCATCTGAGAAAAAAAAATGGGTACGGATGGCCCTTACCCGGCGTGGTGCGGACGTCCAGTCAAGATGCGACGCGTGGACCGGTAGGGAAACGGCTGACTCCGCCTCCCAGCGCTGGCTTGTCGAACTCTCGGCTCGAGGCGACGCCCGCGGCTGATGGCTCGACCAGTCGGCCTAATCTCGTCCGTCTCCTCGTCCCAAGAGGCCAAGACTGCCGACGCCGTTGCCTTTCGTCTTAAAAAAAAAGAAAAAAAGCGCCGCTGTGTTTCGGTCAGCCGCCGCCGGTCTCTCTCTCCCCTCCATGGCACTGCCCTTTCTCCTCTCGTGACTATGAACGTCTGCCCCATGAGAGCCCCTGGCGTCGGCGCCCACGATTGAGATGGCCTACTGCAGCGCTTCATTACAGCTGGTGTATGGAATTCACTTCGGCCATGCGGCGCCCACTTCATTACAGCCGCTGTCATCACCATTTGCAGCTTTGAAGGTAAGGTTAGCTAGCCTCCATGGCGCATGCCAATGCAATCGACGGCCAAACCTTCCTGGCTGGCTGCCTGCCTCTCGTCCTTGAAAGACAAACTTTCGATTGCGCTCCCTAGTTGCCATATGATGACGCTTCTCCCGTCTCTAGACAAATCTCCGATCGTGCTACAACTCTCGTCTTCAGAGAAGCATCCCGGCTTCAGAGAAACTTACGTCCGTGTGATGGCGGCAGCCGTGATCTCGACTTCTCCCGTAAGAAAGAACTGTGATTTTACGGCGCCTTTCCCATCTACTACGATCAAAGCCGGCGTGAGTTTTCGAGCCCGCCAGATATCCCAACGAGCTTGCGGCTGTGAGCCAACGCCAGCCAGCAGGGCTGCAGGGGTACGAGCCGAGGAGTTTGATCGTGAGCCAGCGTTCTGACTCATCCACGCGTCACATTTTGACTCGACGTCCGCACCACGCCGGGTAAGGACCATCCGTACCTATTTTTTCCCCCCGTTCGGAGCACTTTCCTTCCACGGAGCCCCGCTGAGAGAAGGCGTCGGCGACGGTCGAAGCCGAAAAAACGAGCTTCTCGCGGCTCCCTCGTCCTTGCTTGTGGGCCAGCGCCAGCCCCGAAATACCCTCCGCGCGTGGGCGAGGCGTCGTAGCTCCGGGTCGCCGGGGTGGACGGAGGCCGGACGGAGTAGCGAGGCTGGGGCTCCGGGTCGCCGGAGGCCAGAGGTGTGGGCGAGGCGTGGTAGCTCCGTGTCGCCGGGGTAGACGGAGTCCGGACGGAGTAGCGAGGCTGGGGCTCCAGGTCGCCGGAGGCCAGAGGGCGGGGCCGTTCAGGCACCGGCTCGCCGGAGGTCCGAGTGCCGCCTCGCTGGAGCGTGGAAGGGGGCTCCCGCCGGGGCGCACAGGCACCGCTTGCCGGACGCTGGAGCACGGTCCTGCCGAGGCGCTGAGCGTGGGAGCCGTGTGCGGGATGCGGAGACGCCGGAGATAAGAGCGGAGGGTCGAATAGATAGGTACGGACTGTACTAGATTAGATAAGGAGAGAGAAGAGGAAAGAAATAGGAAAGGAAAAAAAAGAAAAGGAAAAGAAAAAAAAGTATTATAGGCATTTCTCCTTTTGGACATATAGGAGAAGCCGTTTTAGCTGGAGCCGAAGCTCTACCAGACGGGCGCTTATTGAGGTAGTTGCTGGTTCATTCATTGTTTGGCCGGCGTCTTCACTGTCCTCCTCCCTCTACGAATTGACTGCTCCCCTTCTATAGATTTCTCACCCCTTTTCACACTCATCCCGCGTGCTCGAGGCCTTCATCTCGATTCAGTCCCTTCTTCGTTCTCCCAGAGACTCCAATCGTTTTCTGCATTCCACCAAGATCTACAGCGTGAATGAATCTCTCACTGAACCCGTTTGGTGCCCCATGTAACCATCTTCGCAATGTCCATCATAACCCTAGCTGGATTCGGTCATCATGCTGCCAAATTTCAGAAATCCCGTTCAAATCGATGGTCCGTGAATCGGTGTCTTGATTCGCTCTCACTATTTTCAATTTGTCCGCACCGCTTTGTTCATACCGCGCACACATCTACCAGTGTTTCTCATCGGCACAATCCCCTTCCCCCCTATCCCACCGATTCATATTTTGCAATTCTTGTCGTTTTTTAACCAATCAAGTCTTTTTAAATCTCAGGAATCGAACATAGGTGCTGCGCATCACAGTCTCACCTTCGATGGGTTAATAGAGCCCCCCTGCCAGGTTCGCGACACCGATCTCAATCGCTCCTCCATTACTGCTAGATGCATATACAATGCATAATAAATTGTATTACCTATATCGAGCCTGCAGTTGGGTTAAGTCATTTCTCTTTACCCAGCTAATCTAGATTATTAACACCTGCAGGACTGCATTAATTCTGATCAATCCCCCGTCGGTATTTACGCTGGCAATACACTAGATTTATCTACCAATGTAGACACCAGCTCGGTAGCATTGCGATGCTCAGTCAGGCTCATTCATGAAATTATATCAAACTTTGGGCCTGAAAAGAAAGAATTGGATTCCACGGATTGCTCAACTTCCCATCTCTTAAGCAGATCAATCTCCGTTTCTCAGCATGGCTTATGTCCAGAGTGTGGATGAACTGTCGCAGTCTATACATATTGTGGATGGAACACGAATACATTTTACTAAGGCCCCGTTCGCGTGCCCTTAAATCCGGCTTGATTCGTTTATTTTTTCATCCGGAACAGTGTTTTTCTCTTACAAATTCCTCCAGCATTCCTCCAAGCCATCCAGATTCCTCCAAAATTCAGACAAGCGAACAGGCCCTAAGAAAGATGTTGTCAGGGTCTTTGGAATACCTGCAGATGGCAAGAGCATATTCTCAAAAACAGCCAAGCATTATTCTGGCAATGTAACATCTCAATTAGCAGCAGGTCACATAAATGTCAAGCAATTACGTAGTATAAAGGCAGCACAAGCCATTGTTGTCAGGGACCATGATGGGCCAATGAGCTTAATCTACCAGGATGAGTTCAGCATTCGTTGTTTTTGTAATGTCAACCTTACTCGCCCTTGCGCCAAACATGACCGTGTCTGTGCTGACTATATGCACATCATTGTGCAACCTGGGCAGATCAATTCCTATGACTCGGCTGAATACGTCATATGACGACTACTTGAAGCTGTTTCAAAGCTGAAAGCAGATTTAGCAAGCAATGTCAAAGTGCCCTACATATACGGTTGTTCTTTGTTTTTGCAGGTACGCCCGCTACTCAATCTATCGACCTTTTCTTCACAGCCTTTTCTTTTTGACCTCTGCAACCATATTGTTCACTGCTCTTCCTACTTGTGCTCACAAGAATATCAAATCACCTATTCATACAGGTTCTGTATCTGGATAGCATTGACCTGGGTGCACTTTCGATGGAGCATAACAGCTTCCCGCGAGTGTGATGCTTCACATATGATTGTTTAAGGGTCATGATAGCGGCTGCGGATAGCAGTTTCTCCGCCTCTCGCCCCAACACTGGTCATTCATGCAGGCCAAGGTGCGGTTGTATTCAATGCTCGTTTATTTGTTATAGATATGCCGTCTTATTACTGCTCAATTCAGCGGCGGATCAACGAAAAATTTTAGGAGGGGTGATTCTTCACATACCTCCGACTGTTGCTCGATCTTAAGTCTCAGCCCTACCTACACCATAGAACTTTGTTTAAAAATTCATGGGGGCTCTAGGAGGCTCCACTGCTCCGATATCGTTAGGGGGGCTCGACCCCCCGCCCCACCGTTGGATCCGTCCCTGGCTCAATTCTTGTTACTAAATACCAGCAACCTCATATTTTAATTGTTTCAAGCTCCGACCACCAGGTGGGATTTGTTATCATTGGGCTACATCCAAACCGTCTAGCAGCCACAGCACAAATCAAACCATCATCCTAGCGTTGTGGGAGGCTTGTATCCTGATGTCTTGGATTTTTAAGATCCCCCCGAGGTCCGCCCTCCGAACTCTTTATTTGCAGGACTATACCTTATTTCCCCGTGAACAAAAAAATAAAAAACAAACGCATATGTAACTTATGTCATCATCCCCCTAGTCCCCTACTTATATTTATATTAGGTAGCGTGTCCGTGCGTTGCT